TGTGGTGTGTGTGATTTTTTGACATAGGGTGCTGGCAGATTACGGGCCTCCATATAGCTGCTGCCAGGCCCCTAATCTGCCATGGGCCCTATATACCGCCTCCTCATGCTGCTGCCAGGTCCAGAGTCTCTCATGGGTCCCTGTACGGCCTCCATTGCTGCTGTCTCCATCGCCACACTCTGCCATGTGCCACTTTCAGGTCTCCTCACACACTGCTGGTGTGTTGAATTTTTTTGACATAGGGTGCTGGCAGATTACGGGCCTCCCATAGCTGCTGCCAGGCCCCTAATCTGCCATGGGCCCCTATATACCGCCTCCTCATGCTGCTGCCAAGTCCAGAGTCTCTCATGGGTCCCTGTACGGCCTCCCATTGCTGCTGTCTCCATCGCCACACTCTGCCATGTGCCACTTTCAGGTCTCCTCACACACTGCTGGGTGTGTTGAATTTTTTGAACATAGAGGTGCTGGCAGATTACGGGCCTCCTATAGCTGCTGCCAGGCCCTAATCTGCCATAGGCCCCTATATACCGCCTCCTCATGTTAGACCGCCTTTACGAACAGCAAAAGGCCATCACAGATTTCCTGATGTTAAAAGCGGATAAAGGTACTCCCTGTGTAACTTAGATGTCAGCCATTGGCAGCTCATGCGTGACACCTGCGCTTGCTCAGGCCCTTTGAGGAGGCCACGCTATTCGTGAGTCGGCAGGACTATGGGATGAACGACGTCATTCCTCTGTTGCACGTCCTGGAACAAATGCTGTTAACAATGGCTGGTCAGGGTGTGCGGTAGACGTGGCGCACAGATCTCAACGCCACATGACCCCTGTGGGGGCAGGACAGGAAGAAGAGGAGGAGGTAGAGGAGGACATTGGTGCTCAGAAATTATTGAGTGAAATGGGTTTTTTTTCCACTCAGCGGACAGGAGTGGAGGAGCAGGAGCATCTGGTAGAGGAGGAGGAAGAGGAGACAGAGGACCCAGACGCACCGTGGCAGTATGCTGTGGAGATGGAGGCAGGGAGTCCCTCGCATTCCTTGGCACAAATGGCCCATAGCATGCTCGCTTGCTTGCGTACCGACAGCCGAATAATAACCATCAGACAGAGGGATGACTTTTGGCTGTCCACCTTGTTGGACCCTCGCTACCGTTCCAAAATGGTGGCCTTTTTCACACCTGCTGAGAGGGAGGCCAAAATAACGTACTATAAAAACCACCTATGTAGTCAGCTGGTCTCTGCCTGTCTGCGCCAACGTCCATCCTCAGACACTGTGGGCCCTGTGCGCTCGCGTTCCGCTGCCATGGCAGCAGGGGAGGGGTGGGGGGTGGTAGGAGCAGTGGCAGCTCCACCAGCAGCGGCTGCCTCAGTCTGCAGTCGATGATGAGTAGCTTTCTTCACCAGCGCAGTGAGGAAACTAATAACCAGCCGCAGCAGCAGCAGCAGCAGCATCAGGTGGACCTGGAGCAGGACCTCAAACAACAGGCTTAGGCCTACTTGGACAGCACCCTGCCAACCGAGGTAGACAATCCCCTTGACTACTGGGCAACGAAACTTGACCTTTGGCCCCAACTAGCTGAATTTGCCCTTGAAAGGCTGTCATGCCCGGCCAGTAGCGTGGCATCGGAGCGCGTGTTTAGTGCGGCAGGAGGTATTGCAACTCCGCGGAGGACACGACTGTCCACCCAAAGTGTGGAGAGACTCCCGTTTGTGAAAATGAATCAGGCGTGGATTAGTCTGGATTTCAAACCACCAGTTCCTGACACAACTGACTAAATCCGCCATGAATCATGCCCCAAACATGTGCCACTTTCAGGTCTCCTCACACTGCTGGTGTGTTCCATTTTTTGTCATAGGGTGCTGGCAGATTACGGGCCTCCCATAGCTGCTGCCAGGCCCCTAATCTGCCATGGGCCCCTATACCGCCTCCTCATGCTGCTGCCAAGTCCAGAGTCTCTCATGGGTCCCTGTACGGCCTCCCATTGCTGCTGTCTCCATCGCCACACTCTGCCATGTGCCACTTTCAGGTCTCCTCACACTGCTGGTGTGTTGAATTTTTTGACATAGGGTGCTGGCAGATTACGGGCCTCCCATAGCTGCTGCCAGGCCCCTAATCTGCCATGGGCCCCTATACCGCCTCCTCATGCTGCTGCCAAGTCCAGAGTCTGTCATGGGTCCCTGTACGGCCTCCCATTGCTGCTGTCTCCATCGCCACACTCTGCCATGTGCCACTTTCAGGTCTCCTCACACACTGCTGGTGTGTTCCATTTTTTGTCATAGGGTGCTGACAGATTACGGGCCTCCCATTGCTGCTGCCAGGCCTGTAATCTGCCATGGGCCCCCGTACCGCCTGGTCACGCTGCTGCTGGGTCCACAGTGTGACATGGGTCCCTGTACCGCCTCCCATTGCTCCCACTCTGCCATGTGCCACTTTGAGGTCTCCTCACACTCCTGCTGGTTTCCATTTTGTCATAGGTTGCTGTATGGCCTCCCATTGCTGCTGCCTCCACCGCCACACTGTGGCTCCAAACACTGGTTTTGGCCCCGTGACTGGCCAAATGAGTGAAGTGTGCGGTGATTCTAAGATCGACGGCACTCATCTGCATGTCATACTGACTGACAGTATTATTTCTCTTCCCCAGCAGACTCCAAGGGCATTTAAATTAAAGGTACAGTGTTCTGCACTAATATTAAGTCTCTCTGAAGCCTAGAAACACCCTTTTTTAAGTTAAATTCACAGCGAATATATTCGACTCGAATCGAATATTGTCCACGAATTCGCCGAGTCGAATCGAATTTTTGAATACTTCGCTCATCTCTAGATATTACCACTCACTATTGCAGAACCAAAACACATACTCTCCCTTTCTTTTATATACATATAGTAATGTTCTCTACTACTCCACTTGTTATCCACCATCATCTCCTCCTCTTCCTTTTTGGTGCTAGAACCCACCATGAAACATTGGATGCATGCCATCTGGATAACCCACTCACTGTTTCCATCTCCCTGGATGTTATAATACCTACCTCAAAATTCACTCTCATCTCCATCAATGCGCAAAGTTTTGGTTCCCTCAGAAATGTAAAGTTGCTTTAATTTTCTTTGCATTTCCACAATCTATTATCGTATGTCTGCAGAAAACCAGCGTATTTTTACAACCTAAATATTTCCACAGAAACTACTCCAAGGAGTTTCAGGCCAACTGCCAAAATACCTACCAATGTTGCTTCTTTCCAGTCTCTTTGGGGTCATATCTAAACATTAATTTCATTAATACTGATGAATAACACCAACATGATTCTAGAAAGAAAATTAAATAAGTCTAACCCACCTTAATATTTCCGCAGAGAAGGAAATACGCATATTCAAAGCAAACTTTTTATGAACGCATTGCACAATACAGTTTAATTGATTCTTGGAGTAACTGAAATTCTAGAACATAAGACTAAACATTGCTTCACCCCACCTAACCGTTTCACATTACCATTTCTCCCCCCCATCACAAAAGAAAAGAAAAAACTCCTTGTGCAGCATGACATCTTTTTGCCCAAACCAATTCAGTTGGCATATAAATGATTTCCTGCTCTCTTTTTCAAACACAGTCTTCTCTAATCAAGCCTCTCTTACATAATACTTTGAAGAATACATTGGGTTAGTATCATGTCCACAAGGATATACTAAAGAGATCTGTTATTCAGCCAGCCTCACATAAAGAGAGAGAAAAACTAATTTCTAATCTGTTACTCTTTCTAGAACAATTAGAGTCAGTATTGAAAAAACCACCCTTCTAACACCTATATGTAAATGGATGGATACTGTCAAAGCTGAACCGAATCAACTTTTAAATGATAAAGCTGAAAAACAAATATACTAGGCCAGGGTTTTACAAACAAGCTAATAAACCAGTCCCATTGCTGGCAAATTTACTTACCTTCCAGTACAAAAGTACTAAACCATTAAAGTTATGCATAGCAAATGGCATAATCACAGCCAACCTTTACACTATTGTGAGGAAGTTTACATCCGTCCTGATCAAATTCTATTAAAAACCTGCCTCCTTTCAACCTACCCTAGCAGATAAGCTATTCCAAGACATAATAACACCCTCACCCTAAGGCAGGCACCTCGAGGCAGAGGTCACAATTTTGGCAACAGACGGATTTCACTTTTAAGCATTGATGTCAAAATACTATCCAAAATCTTATCTCCCAGACTCAGCTCTTTCCTAACACTTCACCTTCACTTTCATTTGATTAACTTTATATATATCAGCATATACGTCACCTCACTTAGACATAAGATACAGGTGCCCTGAATTGATGAATTGACAGTACTATCATAAATGTGTACAAAAGAGAATTCTTTATATATCAGGGAAGTGCAAATGGTGGCATTTTTTGTAGGGAAAAGTATATCCTGGTGATTTCATATTTTGTACAATAAATGGTCTTTGGAGGACACGGCTTACATATCGGCTTCCACGCGGCTTCCATTGTAATCTAATAACCTTGGTTCCTTTTTGGTATTGGAATATAGAAAAAACAACGATGCTATCCTAATGGGAATCCATCATCTGGGGGAATCTGAAAATGCACTTTGCTTAAAAAAAACTTGTTTGAAGACCTCTTTTGGTGAGTTAATGTAACCTTAAAAAAAGCATGTGCAGTTTTATGAATAATGAGAAGTAATGAGCAGCACTTGCGTGCATGAGTTACATCATCATCAGTGGCCACTCAAAAGCTAGCTGAAAAGAGAAGACATCAGATGCAGAAGACAAGAAGAATATAACAGAGGAGGTGACGGGGATGCATGGACATCTCATTTACTTGAAAAGAAGACTCTCATTGAGGTATAGGACATACATACTGTATCTATTACTATAGATGACTACTATACTATATAGATGACTTGATATTGATGTTACGAGGTCCATCGGAAAGTGCATTTGATTTTGTCTACTACTTCAATGATAATCAGTTAAATTTAAACTTCACTATTAAATGGTTACAATTTTTTTTAGAATTTACTTTGCAAGGGACCAGGACAATTGGCTACCTCTACCTTTCTTACAAAATGTTATGACATGTCTATCCTATTGGCATTTAGTTGCCATCTATTACATGCTATTAAGTCTGTACCATTTGGTAAGTTGACAAGGAAGAGGAACTGTTTGGTGGATAGTGGGTAAATTGCAGAGACTAAAGGTCTGTCCCAAAGAGTTTGCCTTCAGGGATCCAATAATTGCTATGAACATGTGTCAATTGTGCAAGGTCTAAACTAAAAACAAAAATGTTCAACCACTGGCTACTAAAAACTTTCTATGATCACCAGTTGTTGAATTGTAATACTAAAAAATTGTCTATATTATAACCTGTTCAGAATGTCAGCTTCAATATGTAGGTTTCATCAGCAGACCTTTGAGAGTGAGGATAGCAGAGCACTTATGTGCAGGTCAATGTTCCATAGGTTTTAGACATTTATGGAATGTTTGCAAGGACAACATAGATTCACTTTCTCTTCATGATATAGAGAATGTAGATTATGTGTATTGCCCCTTGCTTATCATTGAGGCTTTTTAGATTTTCATACCAAGAGTCTTTCTCTCAACCATAGGAGGGAAGTTAATCTTCCCATATAAATCCCTCTTATGCAGCTGCCTCAACATACAGTACATATGCTATTTTTATACATTATATTTTATATATTTATATATATATATATACACACACACAGTGAAGGAAATAGGTATTTGATCCCTTGCTGATTTTGAATGTTTGCCCACTCACAAAGAAATAATCAGTCTAAAAAAACGAATGGTAGATGTATTGTAACACTGAGAGACAGAATAGCAACAAAAATATTTTTTTATTATAAGTATTTGATTACTTTCACAAAACATGACTTAGTACTTGGTGGCAAATCCCTTCTTGGCAATTAAAGAGGTCAGACATTTCCTGTAGTTGGCCACCAGGCTTGCACACATCTCAGGAGGGATTTTGGCCCACTCCTCTTGGCAGATCCTCTCCAAGTCATTAAGGTTTGGTGGCTGACATTTGGCAACTCAAACTTTCAGCTCCCTCCACATATTTTCAATCGGATTAAGGTCTGGAGACTGGTTAGGCCACTCCAGGACCTTAATGTGCTTCTTCTTGAGTCACTCCTTTGTTGCCTTGGCCGTGTGTTTTGAGTCATTGTCATGCTGGAACACCCATCCGCGACCCATTTTCAATGCCCTGGCTGAGGGAAGAAGTTTCTCACCCAAGATTTGATGGCACATTGCCCGTCCATCGTCCCTTTGATGCAGTGCAGTTGTCCTGTCCCCTTAGCAGGAAAAACACCACCAAAGCAGAATGTTTCCACCGCCATGTCTGACAGTTGGGATGGTGTTCTTGGGGTCATAGGCAAATTCCTCCTCCTCCAAACACAGGCGAGTTGATGTCAAACAGCTCGATTTTGGTCTCATCTGACCACAACACTTTCAACCAGTTATCCTCTGCATCATTCAGATGTTCTGTAGCAAATTTCAGATGGGCCTGGACATGTGCTTTCTTGAGCAGAGGGACCTTGTGGGCACTGCAGGATTTCAATCCTTGTCAGCGTAGTGTGTTACCAATTGTTTTCTTGGTGACTGTGGTCCCAGCTGCCTGGGGATTATTGACAAGATCCTCACATGTAGTTTTGGGATGATTCCTCACTGTTCTCATGATCATTGACACTCCACGAGATGAGATCTTGCATGGTGCACCAGACCTAGGGAGACTGACAGTTGTTTTGTGTTTCTTCCATTTCTAAATGATTGCACCAACTGTTGTCACCTTCTCACCAAGCTGCTTGGTGATAGTTTTGTAGCCCAGTCCAGCCTTGTGTAGGTCTACAATCTTGTCCCTGACATCCTTGGACAGCTCTTTGGTCTTTGCCATGGTGGAGAGTTTGGAATCTGATTGTTTGATTGCTCCTGTGGACAGGTGTCATTTATACAGGTAACAAAATGAGATTAGCAGCACTCCCTTTAAGAGACTGCTTCTAATCTCAGCTTGGTATCTGTATGAAAGACACC